GCGGGCTTCAGCTGGCCTGTGGCGGTGTAGTTCTCCGGGTTGGACTCGACATCCGCATCCAGTGTGGCCACTGGGCGACGGCCCGAGAAGATGGCTTGGACGGCCAGGTTGTTGAAGGTCGCCGCGCCTCGGCGGGTAATGGCCAAGAGCGTTGTGTCCGGGTGGTCGCGTAGCACGCGGGCGATGTCCGCTGTCTTGGGTTGCCCGCCCCTCCACGCCCGGCGGCCGCGGACGATGTCTGTGACGCTGACGCTGCCGCGTGGCCCCGTGGCGGTCGGCTTGGCGGTCCGCAAGGCGCCCAAGACGCGCCGGAACTTCTCGTCCTTGCAGCGAAACAGGACGTGAAGCTGGGTTTGGTGCACGGCTGCCCGCCACAGCGGCGAGTGCCACGGGCGCTCTGTCCCGTAGCCGGCCATTTGCCGGCGATCCGCAAGCAAACCAAAGGCCGGCGTCTTGTCGACTGCGTTGTGAAGGTGGACGGCGTGAGCAAAGTGGCGGGCCTCCAGCTGGCTGAACTCGTCAAGAATCACAAGGTCGTAGCAGGCAAGGTTCAGGCCGCATTCCGCGATCTCCTGGTCCAGGCCCAGCGCCGCGTGGCAGGTGTCCACGTCTACACCGCCGCCAAACTCTTGCCGCATCCGCGAGGCCAGCTGCGCCGTGTAGACAGTCCACAGCACCCGAAGCCCTTGGCCGACAGCTTTCTCCACAAGCTCCTTGGCGACGGTGGTCTTGCCCGTGCCTGGCGGCCCCTCCAGAGCACGGATGCGGTTGCACTGCCAAGTGTTTGCCCGGGCCGCGTCCGCTTCCGCTTCTGTGCTGGCAAAGTGCACCGCTGCCGCCCGCGCAAGGTCTTCTTCCATGATTCGCAGCCACCGGCTCTGTTCGGTGTTCCAGGCGGGCGCCTCGCGGTTGGTCTCGGCGTCTTCAAGCTGCACGTGGAAGGCTAGGACGCCGCAGCGTTGGGCCAGGTCCTCGTAGTTGGCGAAGCTGTGGTAGACTTCCAAGGCCTCCTGCAAGGTGCTGACATCGGGGACTGCCGCTTGCCAGGGCGTGCTGCGCAGCATCTCCTCAAAGGAGGTGTAGTTGTTGATCTCAGTGACCTTGCAGTGGACCGGGCCAAGGCGAAGTCGGTCGCCGGCCTTGACTAGCGCGGCAACGCCGCAGTTCAGCCGCCCTTCAACAGTCTTGGCCCCCGTCGCAATGAGCTCGGCGTACCTGTTCTGGATGGGCAGGAAGTGCGTCCGGCCGGGCCTTGTGACCGCTAGGCGCGGCGCTGGCTTTTGCAAGGCGCCGGACATGTACTGGCGCGCCAGCGCGCTTTGCGCGCGGAAGTAGCCCAGGACTTCTTGCCTGTGCAAGCGCCCGTGGCCTTCTAGCAGCATGTCTTCCTCAATGGCGGCCTCGCTGTCCCAGACTTGCCTTGCCTCGGCTTGGGGACAGAAAACGCACGTGGCCAGCCAGCGGTCAGTGGGCGGCACGCGCTCTGCAATTTCCGGCAGTAGCAAAGCCGAGCGGGTCCGGAAAGGCACATTCAGGAGCAGCCATTGGCCATAGAACTTGTCCCGGAGTCGCGAGCCTACTCCGCAAGCAACCACCTTCTCACCTTGCGGGCGGTAGGCGTTCGCAAAGTTTTGTAAGGTGTCCGGCTGCCCTGCGGATCGCCATTGCGCCTTGAGCCAGCCGGCAATCTCGCCTTGGTCGTTCGTCTTCCGCAGGTAGTCCAGCAACGTCATGTTATCAGCTCTCCAGGCGCTGCTTTCGTAGAGCTCTACGACCTTAGGCGCGGGGTCAACGTCGGGCGTTGGGACGTTCAGCGCCCGCCGCCCTCCGCTGTGGGTGCCAATGTGCCACTGGCGGAAGACGGAGCCAAAGAGCTGTAAGGCCATCTCCGGGACGCAGGGCTTGTAGCGGGAGAGAACGGAGGCCGCAATGGAGTTCGCGTCCGCATCGTCGTTGAGCAGCTCTTCCTCCATCGAGTCGCTGAATTTCGGGGCGTACTTGGCGGTGTAGGCCGCGTAGTTCTGTTGGCCGCGCTGGTCCACCTGCACATCTTGGTGACACTTGGTCACTTCCATAAGGGGGCTGAAGTAACCGCGGACGCCTTTGGAGTGGTCTTCCGCATTGTGGAGGAACTCGTAAGCCCGGATGTTGGAGTTGTAGTGGCTCGCCCCCTCGTGGACTGGGAATGGAGTCTTGCCGTTGCCGTCGAGCTGCGAGGCCACAACGAAGCCGCGCAAAGAGGCCGGCTCCACTTCCAGCGTTGCCTGGACGCAGCGCTCCAGGCGCAGCGCCTCCATGTCCTCGTCACGGCGCTCGGAGCCCACGTAGACAAGCTGGTGGGCGTGGGCCCGCCCCGATCCATGATAGTCTTGACTGGGGTCGCGGCGCTTGCCGTCTTGGAACTCCAGTCGCAGAAAAGAAACCACGGAGGCCTCGGAGCCGTCAAGCCTCTGTCGCTGAAGGAGCTGCAGCTCTTCTTCGTGCCCTCGGCGCTCTCGCCCTTCTCCACCAACAACAAAATTCTTGCCGATCTGGGTCAGCAAGTGCGCCTGGTGGAGCGCCTCATAGACTTCGTGCTGGAGACGACCTGTGCGGGGCGGACTTTGAAAAGTTGAGTTTCTGTCGCCCTTTCTGGACCGCCCTGCCTCGCCGACCTTTGCGCATGGCGTCCAGAATGTGGCAATGGTTGGGCCATGACCATTCCAGCGGGCTGTGCGTCGCGAAGATAGGCGGGTAGCCCTTCTGCCGCGTGAGGTCCACCAGCGCGCGGTGCATGTCGCGCCAATACTCCGAAGAGAAGCTGTGGCCTTTCAAGAGCAATCGGAGCGGTGTTCCCAGGTTGAGGTTCCGTTTGGCTCCCAGGTCTGTCCACAAGCCAAGGTCAAAAGCAAAGTGCAGGAGTTCGTAGGAGAGGCTGAAATCCAAGATGGGCGACAAGACCAGGGCCATGTAGGAGCGCTTTAGGCCGGTTGCCTCTTCCGGCGGGCTTGCTTCGCCCAGCGGGTCAAAGTTCAAGCGCTCCTCCAAGGTGCTGCGCTCACTGCCGCGGGCTTGCCGGCTGCTGCTCTGCAGGCGAGCCCAGGTCAAGCAGTGCTGCCGCTCCAGGAACAAATCTGGCCACAGGGCGCACTCCAGCCCCTCTTTCTCCATGAAGCGCAGCCAGCGGCGCCGCGCCCGAGCGTCGTAGCCCGCGTTGTTAGCCAGAAAGCTTTCGTGCTCCCAATAGAAATCCGCGTAGGCGGACTGGTTTTTCGCTGGGCCGGAGCACGCCAGGAGGAGGTCGAAGGCGCGTCTGGCCACGCTCTGGGCCGGTTGCGGCAGCGCCGCAATCTTGTCTTTCACGGAAACGGCCGCCCAGGAGAAGGTGACCAACTTCGCGTGCTGCCTGTAGCCGTTACCTCGCCCGAATTGGTCCCGAGAGCGGATGACAGGCCCGAAGTCTGGCTCTGCCGGCTGCAGCGCTTGTCGCACATCCAGCGAAAGACCGCGCAAGGCATCCGGCGGCGGCTGGGGCCGAGGCGCGGGACGCGCGCTGCGGCAGAAGATGCAATGCCTGCATGGCATCGCAATGTGGGCGCAGAAGGCCGCGAAGGCCAGCGGGCGCAAGGTCCCTGGGCTGCAGAGCGCCGCATGAGTCACAGATCTGCCAGGAGTTGAACTCCGCCCAGAGCTGCAAGTTGGCCGCCAGGCGCGTGGACGCCGCCTTGGGCAGGGGGTCCTCGTTAGAGACTTCCGCGCCGCGCGGCAGTCGCGGCACTGCTTGCTGCATCATGTTCAAGCTCTTGCGGCGATCATCGACAACCTTGGCCCGGTACTCTACCTCGGCGACTTCGGGCTCTGCGACAGCCTGCCTTTGCCGCAGCACTTCTTCCCACGCCGCGGCGCCCGCGCTGTAACGCGCTGCAATCTCCTCCGAGGTGTAGGGCGCTGCTCCGCGCCAGGATTGGTCTCGCCGGCGGTAGGGTCTGCACGCCGGTTCTTCTGCTTCAAGCAGGGGTTGGGCTGCAGCCAGTTGGTCGCGGTGCTCCGGCTGCAGAACGCGCCCCAGCACTGCTTCTTGCGCTTCTGGGCTGAGCTGCACGAAGCGCCTGCGCGCCGCGGCCGCGCTGAGGGGAGCATTTAGAGCTTCTTGCAGGCGCTCCGGGTTGCAGAACAGGCAACGCGTCGGGCCGTTGGGCCGCGCGGGCTTGCCCTCAGCGCCACAGGAGCACTGGATGCCATTGTGCCCTTGACAGTACTTGGGCTTGCCGGCGACGGCCTCCTCCACTTCTGCTTGAGGTTGGGCGGCAACTGCGGCCAGCCAGTTCCGGTAGCCAGGCTCCCGAACTCGCGCCAGGGCAACTTCTTGCATCTGCGGGGTGAGTTGCGCAAAGCGCTTGCGCGCCGCTACCGCGCGGGCGGGGTCGCCCAAGGCTTCCTCCAGGCGCTGCGGGCTGCAGAAAAGACACTGCGCAGGGCCGTGGGGCTGCGCGCGCTCCCCTCCAGGGCCAAAGGCGCACTGGATGTTGTCAAAGCCCTGGCAGTACTTGCGGGTGGCAGCTGGCTTCAGGACAGGCTCTGCTGGCTCAGGCCGCCCTCGCTTCTCTCCTCTGGCCTGGCAGGGAAGAGATTGGTCTGACGGGGCAAACGGGGGTTTGCGCAAGAGAAGCGATGTAGAACTTCGCGCCTGCGGCGGTTTTTCTTGGCGAGCCATGCCGTCTTCAAAGCGGGCAAAGCGGGCGAAGCAAACTGTGAGCCACAAGGAAACAGAGCAAATCTCTTGGGGCAGAGCGCAAGCTGCACGCTGGAAGCAAAGCTTGTCTTCTGTCGCTGAGCAAACGCAAACAATTGCAGTAGACATAAGCACGTTTTTCCGCTTGGCGCGCTGTTTGGCTTTGCGCCGCCGCGCAGGGGCAGCCTGTAAGGCGCCGCCCGGCCGCGGGCAGTCGGATTTGAAAAGTCGCCTTGCCCACTGTCCAGGGATTGAGCGAAGCGATCGGATCCTACCTCTCAGCGGCCGCTCAGCTGGCGTCCTCCTGGGCCTCGCCTTCGTCGCCGTGCTCCGGAGTGACGGGGGCATCCTCGCCAACGCCCTGCAAGATTTTCAGGTGTGCCGCGAACGCCAAGTACGCCAGCGTTCCAGCCCGCCCCACATCTCGAGGCCAGGTTTTGGCGCGGATGGAGCGATACTTCCGCGCCGGGCTGACCCCGGCCCACTCCAAAAGGTCCGACGGCGCCGCCGAGAGAAGCCCAAAAATTGCGGGCGCCTTCGGCTCGGGGCCGTTGCGGTGGGCGGCAAAAAAGTTCACGGCGGCAAGGTGGAACTTCGCCGCTGTCTCTGCGTCGACTAAGTCGCGCAGAAGGCTTTCTTGGGCCTCATCGAGCTGGTTCTCTGCTTCCACCGGCACGTGGTCGCCCTTCAGCTGCTGGATCAGCTCCGCGACCTTCTCGGCTTTGCTCTCTTCCGCAAAGGCTCTGTGCGCGTAGCACAAAGTGAGCACGCCGTGCCCTATGAAGTCTTCTTCCAGCGCCACCTTGTGCTTCGGGGCGCAGAACATTTCCGCTTCCTCGAGCAAGGTTCCGATGTACTCCTCCCGAAGCGCGCGGAGGCTCGCCGCGCAGGACTCGCTCGCCTCCGCCAGGTCGTACTGCTTCCGCAAAGAGTTTGGCACGGCCTCGATGGCCTGCCGCAGCGTCTCCGGGGTCTCCACTGTCGCGTTGAGGTCAGAGGTGCTCTGGAGCCAGCGGAGGAAAGCGGGGGTCGGCCACGCCCCGACGGATGGCTGCTCGGCCGGCTTGTTGGGAGCGGCCGCGGGGGCCTTCGCCGCAGGCTTTGGGGCCGGCTTTGCGCCGAATAAGGACCTTTTCGGAGCCGGCTCCGCGGAAGCCTCGGCCGGCGCCGGGCGCTTGCGCCCAAACAGCGTCGGCCCCGCAGCAGGCGCCTGGCTTGCGCCGAGCGGGTCTTCGGCCGGGGCAGCCGCGGCGGCCGCGGGCGGCGCCGGCTCGGCGAAGGGCGGGGCGGCGTAGTTGCCGTAGTTGCCGAGCGGGTCCCCTCCCGCGGCGGCGACCGGGCGCTGCGAATCCAGCACTTGGTGATTGTAGGCCGCAGTCAGAGCCCGCAGAAGGGCTTCGTCGTTGGCCGGATTCTGGAGGAAATCCCGCACTGGCGCTGGCAGCGCGCCCAGGTTTTTGGCTAGCTCCGTAGCCCATTGTCCGCGGTGAGCCAGCACCGCGGCGGCCTGGCCGGCCGAAAGTTTCGAGCGGTCTAGGGGGCAGTCGAGAACCCGGCCCTTTCTTGTTTCTTTGTTTCCGCGCGCCTCCAGCGCATTCATGCTGAAGTTGTAGATGTTCGCCGCCAGCACCGCCGAGCGCTGAAAGTGGGCCGTGAGGCCCTCGTCGGCGCAGTAGGAGAGCAGAGTCTGCACCGACGTCTCCACTTCCGCGGTCGTGGGCTCGCATTTCTTCGTGGCATCCAGGACTTCGCAAGCGCGCTGGATCTCCGGTCCAGCCGCCGCGGCAATCTCCCCCAAGCCGGTGGCGTCGAAGTGGTCTCGCGCATAGGTCGCAATCTGGGCACCTCTGGCCACCGAGGCCGCCAGCATGGAAAGCCACCTCCCCGGCCGGTTCGCGCCTTCAAAGTTGCCCGCGTGGAGGCGCGCAGACATTCCCTCGAGGGTGATCATGTCCGAGTCCTTGCGCGCCCCACCCTTGTGGACAAACACAGAGCTGTCTTCCGCAGGATATGGGCGAAGCACTTCGACATGATAGGTGGCGTCCATCTTCACCGCGAAGGTTCCGGCGCCCGGGGCGCCAAGTCCCTTGCCCTTGGGCGCAGCGCCCTTTCCCCAAGGAGTCTGCCACTGGCCCTGTCGTCGTGCGCCGCCGCGGCCCATTGCTGCGAAAGAGCTTGAAGGATGCGTTCGCGTTCGAGTTAGTTAGCTGGGCGCTGCGGGGAAACAACTGCTTGGCGGCTTCCCTGCGCGGTGATTGGGGGCCTTGCTCAAAACAAGTGGCGCAAGACTACGACTCGAGCTGGCCTGGAAGGCGCCGTCGGCGGCCCTGCGGCAAAGGGCTTGGCCGAGAGAGCGTCCTGGCAGAGGTGGCCGGACAGCCGAAGCCCCCAGAAAAAGGGGCGCTCAAGGTTGGCAAAAGGCCGACGGAATTTCATTTCAGGCGAGGTCCTGGGAGTTCTTTTTTCGCGGGGCGGAAAGTGTCTTGAAAGAGAGAGCCGGATAGGCGAAGCCCCCGCAAAAAAAGGTGTTCGAGGTCAGCAAAGAAATTGCTTTTCAGGCGAGGCCCGGAAATTTCTTTTCCGCGCTCGAGGCGCGGGGTTTTTTAGTTTGGCCCTGCCGGCCTGGGCGAGGCAGTCGCCGCGGCGCAGCGCCTTCGCGCCGCCAAAGCGGTCGCTTCCGGGCGCCGGCTGTGAAGACCGGCGCGCTGCTTTCCTGCTTGGGAGGCCCGAAGCGCGAGGGAATCGGCCTGATTTACATTTGGAGCTTGCAGCCCCTTCGGCTTACATTTCTTTGAATTGGCTGGCAACACAATTTTTCGGGCAAGGCCCTGGGGGTTCTTTTTCGCGCTCGAGGCTCAAGGATTTTTGGATGGGCCCCGCCCGCCTGGATGAGGCGGTCGCTGCGGCGGCGCCTTCGCGCCCGCAGCAAAGTTCGCCGCGCGCCGCCCGAGCGGCCGCCGTCGGTCGCCGACTGAGAAGACCGCCGTTGCCCTCCTGACAAGGCGACCCGGAGAGCCAGAGGATCGGCTCCATTTGTCTTCGAAACTTGCGGCTACTTCTTATTTTTTCTAGAGGGCTCTTCCCGCCTTGCCTCCGAGGGCTTTCGGCCCGCGACCGCGGAGACCGGCGCGACTTCCTCCTGACGGGGCCGACCGAAGCGCGGGGCGATCGGCTCGACTCGCGCCCTAAAACTTGCTGCCCTTCGACTGGATCTGTTTTTTTTGCGGAGGGCGCTGACCCCTGATTGAAGCTGCCCAGACGTCTTCCCGCCTTGCCTCCAGCGGGCGCCGGACAGGGCCCCGACAGGCTTCCGAACAGGCCTCCGGGCGCCGTGTCCTGGGAGCGATTGACGGACAAGGAAAGTTGAGCGGGGCAAGTCGTCAATCAGTTGGGGGGCGACCGCTTGTGTCTTAAGCTGTGGGTTAACTTTTAACTTGCGTCGGCGTGCCCCGTCGTTTCCAGGTTCGGAGGTGTCTTGGGCTGTGGGTTCACTTAACCTGCGTCGGCTTGCCCCGTCGTTTCCAAGTTCGGAGGCCGAGAATGCGCTTGTCGCGACTTGACCTCGGCCAACTTTCAACTGCTGCGATTTGCCAGGAAATCGCAAGTTTCTGATTTCCTCAAAGGCCAAAACTGTGTCGAAAGTTGGGCTAACATGACATGCCTCCGCGCATTTGAAACTAGATGTTCTATCTGACCGCGCCTTGTTTGGCCCTAGGCGAAGCCGTTTTACCAAAATTTCACAAAATGTCGAAAACACGTGACAGCGCTAGTGTTTTCTTGGGGGGCCCGCCTAGGGCGCACTATAGCTCTTGCGGGAATAGCCCGAATTGGCCTAGGCAAGCCTCTAACTTCTGCGCAAAGCGCATTTTTTTGCGACATCTTTTGTTCTCAGTTGGCCTGAAAACAAGGGCTTTTTCTTCACTTCACCGTGTTCTCGCGATGAATGTTTTGGGTCCCCCGCCAGGGCCAAAAAATCAAGCTTGGGGCTCCGAAAAGTTGCCCGGCGGTTCTCGAGCTTTCGACTTGGGGCCGATCGCTCGCCCTGTCAAAAACAGTGAACAGTCCTAGCGTTTCCCTGCCCTTTGGCCCCCGCCGTCGCTGCCCTTTTGCCCGAAAACTCTGTTTTTTTGACCCGAAAACGGGGCTCCCGTAGGGGTCCGTGCCTTTTTGAGGGCTTTCCGCAAACCTGGCTGCGAAACGCTAGGCTCTGGCATCGAAAATCTAGCAAAAAAAAAAGGCTGCTATTGGCTGGCAACAAGCGCATTGAGCGCGTGTTTTCCCCGGAAGGCAATCTAAAAAATTCGTTCCCCGGGGTCTTCCGAAAAAATCCTAAACCCTAAACTTTTGGTAAAAAAAATCGAAAACGCAAATTTTCGATGCCAAAACCTAGCGTTTTGCTAGCAAAAAACTGCACGACGACCAAAACCGCCCGCCCGTAGCGGCTGAGCCAGGCCTGAGGCCAGAACTCAGAAAAAAAAATCGCGAGAGTCCAGTTTAAGGGCATGCGGCCCTTCCTTCGCGCCCGCGCTCAATCGCGCGGAGAACGCGCCGCAGTCCATCCCCGTGACGGAGCGCGACGACGTCCAACGGCGACGGCGTTGGAGCGATCCCCGCCGGGAGCGCCCCTCGTCCGCCGCCTCCGCGCGAAAGAGGCACGGGCCCCTCGCGGGTCGGTGGGGGGAACCCCTTCTGACGCGGCTCGCCCCCCCAACCGAGCGTCCTCCATCCAGAACTCGGAACGAGTTGAGCGATCCGAGTTCCGAACTTCTTCGGAACCGCCATCCCCGCAAGGGCGTGGGTTTTTCACCGTGTTCTGGCCGCCGCCCGCCCGGAGCGCCGACCTGCCCGCGATCCGCCTGAGAAACTCCCGAGGAACACACTCGAGAGCTGCGGGGGCGCCACGCCGCGTTCGGACGACGGCTCAGCCGACTACTGGCCCACGGCGAAGGCCGACGCCGCCAAAGCGACGCCGGTCAGGGCCTCATGCCCTCCTCCCGGACTCTCGGGGGAGTATAATTTAGCCTCGACCTTGACAAAGGTCGAGGCGCGTGAGGGCTGAGAAGCCTCAGACCACGGTCCATTACCATCGCCGCCGCACGCGCGCGCGACCACGCTCGATCGGATTCCTCCAGTCTCGATCCCGGAGGATACGTCGAAAGGAAGGTCCGTCGCACGAGGCGCGCCGCGGCGGCAGCGAATAGCCGCCGACGTCCTGTTGAAGGACGGCAGCAGCGCGAGGGACACGGTCAAGAGGCTTCAGGGGCGGAGGTCTCCCGTCGTGGACGCGACTCCCGACGAAGATCCCTCTTCCCCCGTTTCACGCCCCCCCGGCACGTTGGTGCTTCTGCACCTGGGCCTCCCGGAGTTCTGGCACTTCATGCCCGAAGTTCACACTTTTAAGACGGCGAACTTTGAGCGATCGTGCGCCGCCGGGGGCCTGGACTCACGTACCCGCGCTGCGGCGCCCCTCAGGGGTGGGCGAGCCGACCGCCACCCCGTCTCAGGGCCGTCCCCGCCGCGCAACGGAGACTTACGCCTGCGGGCCGCCTGCCCAGGCGACGGTTTTTAGTTCCCCCGGAGCACCCCTTCCCGGCCGCGCCCGAACCGAGTGCGGAGACACCTCATCGAAGCGCGCTTTCCTTCACGGAAGCAGGACCGCGCGACGAGGCACCGCGTGTTCGGGTTCCGGGTGGGTCTTCGCGCCGACCGCGCGCGTCTTCGACCGCAACCCAGTCTCTATCCCCTCGGCCCGCCGGGGCGGGCGTTAAGGAAGGAGAGAGGGTCCGTCGAGTCGACGCGCAATCGACTTGGCCCGCGCCGCGCGCCGACGACGCAGCTCGCGCGGAGCGCGCGGCGATCTCTCGGTCGTAGATCCAGGGGGGCCCCCCCCAGTCACGACGTCAAGATCACGCGCGCGCTCGCCGCTCCCTCGGTCACGAATCGAGAGGGCCACGGGGATGCTCCCGGTCGTGACGTCAGGAGCGCGCTTGCGCGCAACGTTCCCTCGGTCCTGAGTTGGGGGGGCCCGACGAGCTCGCCCCCCAGTCAAGACGTCAAGAACGCGCGCGCGCGCGTGGCTGCGTGCGCCGGTCGCCGACGCCCCCTTGAACAACACGCGGAGGACCCCGAAGAGTCCCCCGCCGCGTCCTCAAGGACGTCGACGGCTCGCGCGCTCGCGCGCGCGTCCTCTCGGTCGTGTCCTGAGGGAGGGCATCCGCGTGCTCGCCTCCCCTGTCACGACGTCAAGAACGCGCGCACAGCGCGCGCAGAGGCACCCCCTCAGACCGCAGATGAGATATCGCGTGTCTTCAGGGATGTCTCGCCGCAAGTCGTCCCCTTGACCAGCGGACAAGGAAGTTCCAGAGGAGCCCCCCGTCATGGTCTCAAAGACGACAAGCGGGCGCAAAAAGCGCGGGCCTGCTCCCTGTATAGGGCAGGTTTGCAAAAGAGGGCGGAGCCCTGTAAGAACCCTTGGCAGGACCTGGTTTTTAGTTCCCCCCTCAGGGCCTCCGCCGGCCAGGCTCCGACGGGGCTTTTCCTGGAGGGGCAGCCTACAGGGTTTCCCAGCCTACAGGGTGTCCTGAAAAAGGGTTTCCTAGCTCTGGAATAGGGATTGCCAAGCTGGGAGGTTCTTGGGTGGTCCCCTTCCCTGAGGTCCTTGGGTCCTCTCCCTGGCTGTTTGAGGTTCTTGGGTTGTCCCCTTCCCTGAGGTTCTTGGGTCCTCTCCCCTGGCTGTTTGGGGTTCTTGGGTTGTCCCCTTCCCTAGGTTCTTGGGTCCTCTCCCTGGCTGTTTGGGGTTGTCGGGTTGTCCCCTTCCCTGAGGTTCTTGGGTCCTTTCCCCTGGCTGTTTGGGGTTCTCGGGTTGTCCCCCTTCCCACCTGGTTTTTAGTTCCCCCCAGGACTTCGACCGGCCAGGCTCTGATCGAAGGTGATCTCCTAGGGGGCGCCGTTTGCGTATTTTACTGCCTCGCCAGGCGCGCGCGCACGCCCGCTAGCACGCGTTGAATCCACCTTTTTTCTTGTTTACAAACGCTTTGCTTGGCTTCGGTTTTTTCCAGTCCCGCTCTCTGTTTCTTTCAGCTAGCCGCCTTCACTCCGCCTCAGTCTGTTTCAGCCCCCTTTAGTCCGTCTTTGATGTCTGTGTTTCAGTCCCAAAGGCCC